TCACAGAGGTTATGGCAAAACATTTTAATGAGAAGTGGTAAGAAAATGAAAAATATTTTCTGTCAACTGTTGGTGAAAAAAACCCAAAATACACAGCAGTTTAGGGGGGAAATATTTTTTTTCATGGAAATAGTATGATGTTTTCATATGATGGTTTTGGGGTTTGGGTTTGTTTTTGTTTTTTTCTTTTCCTTTTTTTTTTAACATAACTGAAAAAGTCTTTTTTTATTTATTTTTATTCATAAGAATTCACATTTCAAATATCTATAATTCTCTAAGTTGAGTTTCTGTCTCCTGATTTTCTTCTGGTTTCTTCTCATCTCATTCCACACTGAATTCAGTTTCACTACAAAGTGTTCAACTGCAGGCGGGGTGTCATTGTTACTATGGCTGTTGTTTACACAGAAGATTTAGAAGCAACGTCCTACTCTCAGATAAAAAAAGGCAATTTTTAAGCACTGAGTGATTCAGAAGGGCCATATGCATGCATCCAGTCCATGGTAGAGGAACATGCTGGTGAATTTCATTTCTTAACCTGCACCCTCCCTTTCAGGGAAGTATCAGCTTTTCAGTATGGGTCATTACTAACCAGGCTCCTCAAATATATGCAGGGGAAACCTTTCTTGGGTACTTTATGAATAAGTATAAAAAATGAGAATGAAATACCCTTATTTTAAACACTATTTCATGTAAATTACTGATAATTTGTCTAACTTCTACAGTACCTAAAAGACTAGCATGAATTCATTTTGAATTCAGGAATTATTGTAAGCGATGGGTAGAAGCTGGCATTAGCAAAAGTTGATCCTTTTTCCCTCTATAAACAATACCAGATGGGCTTAGGTGGAACGAATTTAAATTCGTGCATTTTCCCCACACACACACCTCTAAATGATGAGGAAATTGCCCTGTCCTTCGGAATTGTCTGGCATTTACTACTGCAATAAGCTGTACTTAGGAGAGAAACATTGTTTCAAACTTTTGTGCTTTCTCAGGTACATCCCATGATGCAGCCCAGTATATAAATATGACCAAAAGAAACCTATTACACCATTAAAAATGGAACAAATATGAGATCAAATGTAATGGGCATAGATTCCAATTTTGTTCCTGTATCAAGTTCTCAGGGACTGAAGCTGCCTGGAAAGTATTGCAATACTAATTGATTGAGCAATGAAATGGCAGATGAAATTCCGTATCAAAAAAATACAAAGCAGTGCACATGGGAAAAATAACCTTAACTACACATACAGAATGATAGGCTCTAAATTAGCTATTAGAACTCAGTAAAGAGATATGGAAGTCCTTATGAATAGTTTCCTGAAAACACTGTCTGCATGCTCAGAGGGAAATGACATTTTAGGAATGATTAGGAAAAGAAATTAGTGAAACAGAAACCAGTTTTACACCTGAAAAAATGTGTCCCGTTCCATGTGTCCTGTTTTTCACAAAGCCATAAGAAGCAGCAGAGAGAATAGCAGCAAGGAGGATTGATATATAGCATAGATTATAGGATAGAGGAAAAAGAAAAGAAGTGACTGAAGGGTGATATTGTATATAAAACTATGGCTAATACAGCAAGGTAAAGTATTTGTAGGTCTTTTTTTTTTCCTTAGAAAGTGCCAAGGAATGGTCAATATAAAATAATGTTTAAAATAAACTAAAAAAACTACTTTCTTTGCATAGGATGCACCTCTGGGACAACATACTTAAAAAAGGGGCAAAAACCACCGCACAGTAGCTGCATGAGAAAGGTGTCCCTGTGGACACCAAAGATAGTGAAGAAGGAGGGGGAGGAGGTCTTTTGGGTGCTGGAGCAGAGATTCCCCTTCATCCTATGGTAAAGACCCAGATGGAGCAGATATCAAAACTGCTGGATGACCTCATGCTGCAGAAGGCAGAGATGCCTGAAGGAAGCTGCAGCCCATGGAGAGCCTGTGCTTGACAAGGTTTTCTCCCAGGAACTGCAGCCCATGGAGAGCCTACACTGGAGCAGTCTTTTCCTGAAGAACTGTCCCCAGTGGGAGTGACCCACACTGGAGAGGGAAAAAGCATGAGGAGAAAGCAGGAGCAAAGCATTATGGATTGACCAGAAACCCTATTCGTCATCCCTCTGGAGGATGAGGGAGAAAAGTCGTGAAATAAGGAGTGACGTTGAGCCTGGTGAAAGGTACATGTGGGGGGTTATAGTTTTGTCCTTGTTTCTCACCCTCCTACTCAATTCCTAATTGGCAATAAATTAATTTTCCCCAATTTGAGTCTGTTTTGCCTGTGTTAGTAACTGGTGAGTGATCTCCCTGTCTTTATCATGACCCATGAGCTTTTTGATCTTACTTTTCTCCCTATGTTTTTGGGAATGAGAGTAGCTTGGTAGGCACTTGGCACCCAGACAATGTTAACCCACCAGAGCAGCAGTGAGTCTAAAATCTTACCTCACCTTTCTTCCCCTCCAGTCTTAATCTTGTTTACATCCCTGTTACCTTTTCTGTTTCAGCTTTTCTGTAAGATAAACATTGTGATCAGTTACTTGATCATTTGTCATTCACTTCTCAAAACTTACTGAAATAGGATTTTTCCCCTTTGATGCCACAATTCTTTTTTTTTTTTGGTTGTGTCTTTTAAACAAAATTGCTATAGTATGACCTCATCCCCTTTCTTTCCTCTGCTTTCCACAGCTGCAAAAATGATCCTGAGCTGTCTGAGCAAGCGAGTGTCAAGTGGAGAACAGGATAATTTCCAGGAATAAAACTGAGTGATACCATTACAGGAATACTGGGTTCATCTCCAACAGTCAACATTAGAAAGCAAAGCTAGACAAATGCAGGTTTTAACAAATGAGAGTAGATATCAACTAGAACAGCTTACCCAAGGAAATGATGGATTTCCTGTCTCTTGAAGTCTTTAAATCAAGATTGGATATTTCACTAAAATATATGTTCCAACTCCAACAGAAATTACAGATTCAGGAATCGCTGGGTCAGACTCTTGGTCAGATCAGTTAAGACCACTGCATGTTCCTTGTGGACTCTCAAATTAAATTTAAATTAACATTCTATCGTTGTATTTGAAAAAGACCAAAGCATATTTCTCAGCTCAGGTTGTAGGCAGAAACTTGCTGTTCCACCATAATAGACATATGTCTAAAATCCTAATATTTAATACATAATTGGCATGAATTCATATGAGTATGTGCCATCAAATTAACTAAATGTTCTACCTGTTCCCAAGTACACTTGCTCCTAGTGGCGAAGAACCAGCCAACCACAGAATTGTTATCCACTTTTCATTACTTATTACTTGGATTTATGCAGTCAGAAAGTTAAATGCTGAAGGATGGAGGAAAAAAGGAACCAAATTTTGGGGAGAATTTAGGGAGACAGAGGAGGAAAAGCAAGCAAGAAAAAAAGAAAATCAAGCAAGAGCAAAAGCAGAGGTCACAAAATGCTATGGGTAAATAAGCACAAGCTTGCAGATTCAGAGGAAGGACTGGAACACATGGAGGGAAAGTAAACAGAAGTAGATGATTTACTGAAACATAAAGAATAAGTATTCTAAAATGCAGATGAAGTCTGTTTGCCATTGATCTTCAAAGAAATCTCTCAGAATGTAATTTATTTACAGGAACTCCACACTCTGCCAAACACACGCATGCAAACAGTCATGCACACAGTTACACGTGTCCATACTGATAAGATAGTCTGTCTGTCTGCTTTCAATGCTCTTTGCTTACTTTTCTGAGTATGTGGTAGATGCTAAGGAGCTCACAATCATTCTTCACAAATCAGTCACCCTCCGCAGCAATTAAAGAGGTTGTCTTTCACCATAAAAGCAGGAGAGCTTGGGGATACAGGGTACAGTAATAAAGTAAGAAAGTAAGCCTCAGTGAAAGGAGGCAAAAGTCTGAACTTAGAGCAAATGTGTGTTTCAAAGCACAGCCACGAGGTTCAAGTAAAAAATCAGTATTCTTTCACATTACCAATTAACATTTTAAAATTATGCTATTGGAACTCCAATCATTCCCTGTGACTGACAGAAATCTCTCTGCAAAGCCACATATGAAACTAAAAGCTCCCTTCTCTGACATACAGCTATTGTTAGGTGATTTCATTACCTATCATTTATTATATATATCTTTTAATTATTAACTGCAACAGTCCCAGACTTCTGTCAGCTCCTCTGGGAAACTTCTAAGGCTTGAAAAGAAAAATCTAAAGGCACCAAAAGAAAAAGGGTCTAGACACAAAAAAGGCTCCATTATTTTTTTCCCCAGCTAAAAATATTAAAAAAAAAAAAAAAAGGAGAAAAAAAAAAAAGAGAGAAGGAGCGAGAGAAAAGGCGGCGGCATAGGAGCAGCGAAGTTTTCCTTTCATTTGCTCTCCTTCCCTTTGGCATGAGTGCCCACAAGCGCTGAGCGCTTCCCTGCTCCCGTCCCTGCGCTCCATCCTCCGCCGCAAAGCCCGGCGGCGCGGAGGGGGTCCCGCTGCTCCCGTGCGGAGCCGAGCGCCCCCCGGGGGAGGGGGGGCCAGGCCTGCCCAGCCGCGTCCCGCCGCTCCGCAGCCGCTCAGCACATGCAGATCCGCCCAGCCACCTTCATTAATAATAATCGATACTTAATGGCACCAGCCCCGGACGCGCAGGGATGGGCTGTAGCGCCCGAGCCCGGGGCACTGACCTTGCCTGGCCCCGCGCCCGCCGCAGGAACTTCCGCGCCGCTGCGCGCCCGCGGATGAGCGAGAGGCAGGGGGAAAAACGGGGGGCGGGAAAAAACAAAACAAAACAAAACAAAAACCCAGAACCAAAAACCACCCCCCACACACACACACGCCCCCAAAAGTAAAGTCAAACAACAACCCCCGCGGCTCTGTCGGCGGCGGGGGCCGCGCGGAGCGGGGCGGAGCGGGGCGCGCGCGGCGGCAGTGCGGGCGGCGGGAGGGGGGGGGGCGCACGGCGCATGTCCGTCGGCGCCGCGCCGCGCCTCCAGCAGGCGCTCCTGCCCCCCCGCCGCCAAACTCACCACCATCTTCTGCATGTGCAACATTCGCAGCCGGACAGAAACCGCTCCCCGGCGATGGAGACTGCGGGAAAAATCCGCCGCGGCGGGATGGCTTGCTGAAGCGGCAGCGGCCGCCGGGAGAGAGGCAGAGCGCGAGCGGGAGAGGATAGCAAACAAATACTAAAGCAAAACAACACCAAAAAAAAAAAAAAAAAAAAAAAAGAGGGGGGCCCCTCTTTTTTTCCCCCTCCCTTTTTTTTTTTTTTAATTAATTTTTTTTTTTGTTCCTGATTTTGTGTATAGCCTTCTCGCCCTCGATGCCTCTTTGAGCAGCATCCAGCGAGCGAGCGGGAGAAGGCGAGACAGAGAGGCAGAAGAGAAAATGAGGATAATTTGCAGACAGCTTGTCTTGTTGTTTTCTGGCTTTTGGGGACTAGCAATGGGAGCTTTTCCTAGCAGCGTGCAAATAGGTAAGCGCTGCATTGGGCTGCGTGCGTGTGTTCAGGGGTTCAATCTTTTGCGAAGTGAGTTGGAAAGGCGGCTCTGAAGGCAGTTTGCAGATTTCTCCTCCAGCACCATCCGATTTCCGTGCCTTCACGAACCATCCGCGTGTATTTGTGTATATGTGCCTCCGAGTGCCTGTGTGTGTAAATACATGTGTGCGTTCTCGTGCGGGAGGGAGGATGCTTGTCTTTTGCAGAACTCATTCCAGCTCCGAGTGTGCGATATCAGCAGGGCAGGAAGGGGCTCGGGGCTTGAAGTCCCTTGGATGCTTCAGCCCCCTCCCGCTTCTGCCTGACTCCCGGAGGGATGGCGAGTCCTGTGCACGGGAGGTTGCGGTAGCCGTCACGGATGGGGGATAAAAGGCAGCGCTGTCCTTCGTTCCCTTCTGCAGTTGTAAAGTTTAGGATTTTGTAGGTGTCTTTTGTAGGTGTCTCCCTGTAGTCCTGTGCCCCGTCCTCACCCCTTTCCAATCGCCTCCGGCTTCCCTTCTTTCGGACGTGTTTCAGATGGGACGCAGCTATCTGAATTCTTTCCAGCTCAGCTCCATCACTGCATCATTTCTCATTTCTCGTGGACTTGTGAAGATGCTGCTAATAGGGCTGAGCTGCTTCCTGCCTGCACATGGCTGCAGAGGAGCAAAGTTCATTATATTCCTCTTCAATGCAGATTATCCTACACTGAGTTGGTATTTTCTTGTTTTTAATCCAGAAAGCATCGTTCCCCTTAATCAGCCTGCCACTTAATGTGAGAGGTTGTTGAGCAGCTCATTTAGCAGTGTGTTCGGTATCAGGGAGATGGAGGCTAAGCACTTTAAAAGGTCACTGTAATCATGACAAATCTGGGTATTTATGTATGAAAGGCTGGAAATCGAGAAGTCAGAAAAGAAGCATGAAGGCATCAGGGAGGTTAAAATCGATTGACGACAGTGATTTAAAGGCAGTGGTTGTGATAACGAATACGATTAGTTCCTTATCCATTAAAGTGTTAGGACTTGCCTTCTGTGCGGCTTTGGGAGAGACAGTTGCTTGCAAACAAAGATAGTAAGTAGCTTGCAAATGATTTACCCTGCTTCTTTTGCTTTTTGGTTTTTTTTTGTGTTTTTTGTAGGTGGTCTCTTCATCAGGAACACAGATCAGGAATATACTGCTTTTCGATTAGCAATCTTTCTTCATAACACCAGCCCCAATGCATCTGAAGCACCTTTTAATTTGGTTCCTCATGTAGACAACATTGAAACAGCTAACAGCTTCGCTGTGACAAATGCCTGTAAGTAAACATGCCACTGATCCAACCACCTTATGGATAAATTACAGTGGAAAGAACAGGAAACCACATTCTTATCTTGCATTTTAAATACATCAGTAGGTCTGTCTTCAGTACAGATACCCTTTGCAGGAGAGCAAAAGGGGCAGCAGTCCTCCTTAGTTCCTAACTGGAGCAAAATCCCCTCTCCTGCCTTCTGCTGACTAACCTGATGTGACATTTACTTTGGTGTTATTACTGTAGTTTCTTGCTTCCGGGTTTCTATGGAGATGAATTTTGTTGTTGTAAAGAAAAATTATGAATGTCACAATCAGTCCATAAACCCCTCAGTTACTGTTGTTTGCTTTTGTGCATGGTGTGCCTTGCATGTATGTGAAAATATATGATAATATTTGTACTTACAAATGGTTTTCTAATGGCTGGAAAGGAGACAGGGAAGCAGTGGTGTGCAGGATAATATATCTGAGTTGCTTGACGCTGCAGTTGATCTGGTGATGTCACTTGAGGCAGCTCTGCTCTTATATTCTAGGTTGTAAATGTCTCTTATCATTTCGTAATGCATACATCCTGTGGATATGTCTCTATGCATCCATACATTGGTGCCAAATCAAGTTAGTATCTGATCTACTTGATTTCACAGACCACCTCAACTGGAACAAATTCTCTTCCTACTATATATTTTATAAATACACACACACACCCGCATACACACAGATGCACATACACAATGAGAGGAAAACAGAATAAGAAATGCCCTTCCCAAATGAGGTAACAATTAATTTATTTTTTTTAAAAAAAGCAAAGTATAATTAGCTGAATTTCATGCATTTCAATCACCTCAGGGTCTTTATCAGTGGTTAAAACACATGCTGGATACCATTTAATCTCTGAGAGTGGCAAAGCAAAGTATCATCATGTATGTCTGGGTTCTTAAAAGGAATTCATGCTATTATGTAAGACAGTGGTATAAAGTGTGGCAAAGCTGAAGGCTGTAGTAGCGTTACTACTTTGATGTTCATATTTCAGGACTCTATAGGTTTTTTTCTGTGGCTGTTAAATTTTCGAATCCCTCCTCTTCATTCAAGAGTGAATTGCCTCTGGAAGTAGATGCCCTAAGCAACATTGCTGAGCAAGTTTAAAATAGAAACATACTGGAGAATGTCTTAGTGTTCATCATGCCTTTAAAATACATGCTGTGTTCCTCTTCACTTTCTCACTGCCATCTCTGTGGCACTTCTTAATATGTAAACATACAATGTACTGTGCAGTTCTCATGTATAATTTATTTCATGACTGCTAAATTTATTTATATAAGTTTTCAGTACTCCAAGTTTCAGATGACCTTGCCACCTTATTTAAGAGGAAAAGCTTTCGAGCTGCAAAGATGGCTCCATTCGTTTTATTCAGGAAAGGCTGATGTCCCATAAAGTGTGACTTCTATATTAACCAATGTATTAGTTGTGTTTAGTGTGAAAATCATTATCAAATTTTATAAGATGAAAACATTTCAAAAGGTGCTTTGAAACTGGAAGGAATCAGATCTATGCAGGTACAGTTCATTGAGAATATATTACAATAGATGTCAACTTTTGTAGGCACTGATGATATATTCCATGAAAATAAATGACACTAGCTTTTTTAAACTTTCATTTTTAGCAAAAGAGGAGGGACTAAAATTTTGTATACCAAAATCAGTAATTTTAGGAGAAGTCAATTATTTTAGATTCTGCCTACAAATCTAGTTCTGACAAATAATTTCCAAGGCTATTGTTACTTTTTGGATTAAGGATATTGCTCAGTAGGTCTATTTGAGTGTTAATGAATTAATTCTAATTTGCATAAATTTAAAATTGTCTAAAATTGGACCAGGTCTCTATGTAAGACTAACACCATAGATTCAAAAAGAGTTTGCCCAAAACTTTGCTTAATTAGACTATTTGCACCTGATTATTCTCTCATTCCAACCACCTTAGGTTATGTTTACCTTACATTGTTTGAACTGAGGAAAACCTGTTCTGTTATGTTTGCTGTCATTTGTAGCAATAGTGATTCATAACCTGATCCTTTTTTCTTTTTAACTGAACCCAGTTTGAGTTCCAAAGATTTTAATGACTTTAGAAATGACAAGTCCATACAATATGGGGGGAGGCAGGGAAGAAAGCGAAAAGTAAATTTATATGTTTGTGTACGCTCATATAATTATGTAAATGTCTGTATTAAATAGACGTAATCCTACAGGCCTCATTTATGTTTGTACTTGCCACTTAAACCCACTTGTATTTTTGCATTAGTCCAAGTTTGTATTTATTTCATGTTTAGCAGCCTTGTGCCAATAATCTGACTACTTCTTCTTTTTAAAAACATTTTAAATGCTAAAGAATACTTTTTAAACAAATCCCCTAATGAAATGTAGGCAAACTGACTGACAACTGAATGAACATATCTCATGTTCCTTAAACTAAATATGGGCAGAATACTGCAAAAATCAATTGTCTGATAGCTGGAGGACACTGGCTTCAATGTGATTGAATTTGCTGGCTTGACAGAGGCTTCTAAAGCGCAGATGTGTGAGATTTTCTAACCTAATTAAAGAACCCCCACCATCAGCTCTGAATTAAGTGATTTCATGGCAATGTGAAGTGATAACTCTTTGCTGAACCACTGTGAAACGGTGGCTTTGGGTCTTGCTGTTTGTGTAGAAATTACTCAGAGCACATATCCCTAAATATACAGTACAAAAGCCTTAGAGCTGCTGGTATGAGATGAATATTCATGTGAGTTCAAGCATAAATCTCTGAGACATGACCAGTTACCTCTGCTTCTGTTTCCATTTTCTTCAGCGATTACTTGTAAAGATTGAGGGCCTGGCCCCTTGCATGTATTAGGGACAGTAGACAGATTATTCCAAAGGATTATGAATGGCATATTACCAGCAGGTAACTCACTGCAACATTCTAAAAACTTTAATTTTTCTTTTCTATTCACTATATAAAAAATATATATCCAAAGGCTCACTCAGGAGTACTTTTGGAACTGGAATAATTTTGTATATTCACTGTAAAAACTAGTTTCTAATGGTTATTTTACACATTTTTCTTTTCTTCAAACAGGCCCAGAACATTAGTGTTTTTATTCTAAATCATGAATGCATATGAAATGGCTTGCTTTAGCAGATAAAATCTGTTGTAAGTTAGCAAAATTGATCTGATCTGTATCAGTTTGGAGATAGTAGTCTTTCTTTCCCCTTTGCATTTGTGTGTTTTATTTAAACTCTGTTCGTTTCTTTTGCACTACATACATTATTCAGAGAATCCCTCTTACTGACAAAGCTAAAATTATTGCAAAACATGAATAGTACAAGATTCTTACCCATCAGAACACAATACACCAGAGCTGAAACATTTGTCTATTGGCATACATTGGTTTGCACTTTATAAGCAGGAAATTCTGCTTGTGATTAGAAATCTACCTACCTTCAGCTTGATTTCACATGTTGGAGCAATGCATTGATTTTGGAGAGAATTATATATATTTATTCTTTCGCTGAATGCAAAATAATTTTCTCCCCTCCGTACACCTTCTATATAGTACGTTAGTATATCTCAGCAACACAGTTAATGTGCTTGAATACTTATGAGAGGTAATGCTATAATTTTACAAAGAACCAATTGCCTTCTAGCTCCTGTCTTGTAGTTGAGAATTTTTCTTTTGAAGTTTCAAAAATCCTTAATATATAACCAGTTTGCAGTTCTTGTACAGAATTGGTTTAAATGGGGAAAAAAGAGATCGATTCAAGTCTTTTATTATCATTTCATACTAAAAGTAAAGCCTTTCTCTTTGAGTCTGTTTGAATTCATGTGTGTTCTGAGTTGAATATATGCCTAATAAGTGTAATTTAGGGTAAATCAGACACTCCTTTCCTCTTTTGCACAGTTCCATTCCTAGTTGCTTTTAGTCTCGGTAGATACAAACCCCTTAAAATATAACTTTGTTTATTATGTGCTACATGGATCAGAAGAAAAGCCCACGGAATTAGAAATTTTGTATCTTGGAATAACTTTCCTCTTTTTCCAAGAATTATTCTCTTTAACTCTTATGCCCTCTGGATTTTTGTGAGGTTGATGACCTGAAATTAGAGGGCCTAGTTCTGCCTCACCGGTGGGAATGCAGTGTCTGGGGGAGACGCACTGAGGTTAGAGGCAGCCCTGAGGACGGACAGGAGCCTCCGTCGTCAGCCTCACCTCTCTGTGGGTCTGTCTCTGGGCTTGTGCTTGCTAGTGAGGGGAGAGACAATGTCATCTTGGAGTTAACTTTCTGCTGAGACCTCCAGAAAGCTGAGGAAATAGACTCAAATGTAATATTGCCCTTATATTGTGACTATCTGTCATTTTACTTACAGCAGTTTCAGCTTTGATTTACTAAGCTGCATCATAATGGGATTTTCATTAAATTTGGTTATTAATTCTACTTTATAATTACAACTCAATTTAGCAATAGAAGCGTAACCTTAGTTGAATAATCAGTGTCATTTAAAACCATGATGTTCTTTATTTAGAAAGTGAGGTTTCGTACAGCTGAATGGTATTTTCCTATCAAGAGCTGAGCGGTATTCCCAAGGATGCAGTTTGGAGGATATTGAGGGTTACTGTAAAGGCACACCATACAGTCAGATTTGAACTGCAAAAGCAAATAGTCTGCAAGTTGGCTAGAAAAATGGAACTGCATTAAATTGTACCCTTCTAAAATAGGATCGATTACAAAAATCTGAAGTAAGTGTTTTGCTTAAATACATGGAGTTTATCTCAAGCAATAATTGAAAACAATTTCTCTTAAAATTTTTGTTATTAGCATTTGCTGATGGAATCAAATAACATATGTGTACTTTGGTGTCATCTGCCATAGGGATTCTATATATTCTTAAGATATAAGATCCACATTCAAAGAGTTTCATTGCTCTAAATGTGGTACTTGTAAATAGCCATACAACAGAGAGTAGATCAACT